GGTTATCAGTTAAATTGTGCAACCCTCCCACCAGCATCAACATTGCTCCGTTCTTGTCTCTCAACATCTTCAACTGACCATACACCTAATTGATCGCGTTCAAACGGTTGAGCCATCGTTCTCAAAAATTTTTTTGCAGTGACCAAAGCCATATCCGTCGATAAATTTGTACAAGCATCCGTGATAAATTGGTTTAACCACCTGGGTAATTTATTACGTTTATCTGCCCTTGCGAATCTCTTATTAAAGAAATTATTGTTACAACCTTTGCTCTAATTAAAACAGAAGAAAATATAAAGATTATGAAAATTACTTTATCAGAAAATATCATTAGTCCATAATCAGTTTTTCCTCTTAAAACTCTCCCAACGCATTGAGCTGCATGACGCATTGCGTCGAATGTTAAAAAATCGCTTTCTCGTATTCTGTAATTTTCTCTCAAAAACTCAAGGCGCGCCTAAATTTTAATCGTTGATTAAAACGATAGACATCGTCAAAACTAACAAAAACTTGTTACTTACTTTCAAAATCCGACTCTCTGTATATTGATATGGTACACCAAACATAATCACGGCACGCCCATAATTATGATCAAAATCTATACCTTCTGAAACCTTCCCACGAGCAACTGATAGTAAGATAGCGCCACGTCCATTGTCACATGCCTAATATTGAAAAAAGACTAGATAGTTAATACTTATGTAATATTAATATAACGGTATTATCAGTATCCTTTTGCGAACCTTTCTGTAGTTCTCCAAAGCTAAACTTGTTTCTGAAGCATCTGGTGTTTCGACAAATATTAGCTTGTGCTTCCATGCTTCATTTAATATGCCCTGAATACCAAAAAGATATTACCTAGATGCATAAAAACTTTCAACTATAATATATGATAAAAAATTACCATATCATTCCACATAGCTACTATTGACTCCATGTATAAATAGCTTGGGAAGAATGCAACGATTCCATCTGGCACAATCTTAGAAAATTCAACGAGAATTTGCCCAAAATTTCGTACTACTGCCGGATCATTACGAACTTCAAATTTAGAACTAATAGCTACTTGATCGCTACCCCTAGTTATTACCTACAGTAGTCAAAAATATTCATAAGCATTTTAATTGCAAACACGTATATATAACGTACATGTCACAAACCAATGGCAGGAAACAATTCCTTGTTAAAGTCATTGAATAGCTTTCTTGCACAGCTGCCTGAAAATTTAGCACCTTTGGATACATGTCAAGTGGCGATAATGTTCCAGATGTTATAACAACGGTTTTGAACCTTTTAAATATTGGCTTGATGGCTATTGAAGCATCGAGGCACCTATTGATAATTAATGATATTATTATTAAACAGTTAATAAAAAAAGACGTATGCCATTTCAAAAGGATACTAACGCATAATGTAAAATTGGATTTGGAATGGTATCATTCTCAAAAGGTTCTAAAATTAGCATGAAGCCTACAGAATGCAAAATATAATGTGTTCAATTTGGATAATTGGTATAAAAATAGCTAAATGCTTTTATACCTGATTCATAAGTCGCTACAAGAGTTGCAAAAGCTGCGACTTTATGTAATGCATAATAGTCATTGAGATCTGCTAACTCCAATGTCCGAACTAATGAAGTGAGCCTTTGGCTGCAAAACCTGTGAAAATTAATTAACTAAATAAATAATAGAATATTTAACTAGTACATTTTCTTAATGCATAATAATCAAACCTCAGAGGCTGACGTTCAATCAACGTTACTTCTCTGCAATTTTGAAGAAAAGACACTGGCGATTCAGCGACTACCTGTTGCGCTCGCATTCTAGTCTTTTTTTTTTTACACGTAATATTAAAATAAATAAATGTATTTTAATAATCAATCGGCGATATACAAGAGAAATTACTCAACTTTAAGATATTCCACAAAACGACGCAAGAAAGCTACGAAATGCTCAGCTTGTCGAATATTACCAGGCACAGCCTCATGAGTTATATCCTCAGGCAAAGCTATTTTACAAACGGATGTTAGCAATAATTTAATACTCCATCCAAAATTACCGTAATTCTCGGAAAATAATACCCGAGATTTTAAATCTTCAGGGCTTAAATGTTGATCAGTGCCAACTCACTGTTAAATTGATAAAATTGATAGTGGTGGGTATTTTAACAAAGGAGTACTATTTTCCGAGAATTACGGTACATTATTCATATAACTCACTAGGATTTGATATATACACATCTTCATCTCGTTCTTGGCTGGCCATCATTAATCCTAAGGTAGTAAAAGAAATTTAAATGAAATAATAGTCCAATCACTAATTTTATAGCATTATTAGATATCTGTACCTTCAACGAGTTTATTATATTCATCAAGTAATTTCTCACTATCTTGTTTTTTAATACTAAAATGAAATTGTATATTAATGAAAGACAGATATGTGAACAATCACATGCAATACACTTTATTAAATTCAAATGAATGAATACATACTCTTCAATCACGTCCTTAAGTTTTGCTATACTTTTCGCGCTTGCATCCAAATTTGGTTTGGTAATATCAATGCTGAGAGATTCTATGCAGACATTATCTGGAAATAAAATTCAAGACTTGTAAATATTTTATGGTAAAAATCATATAATATAATAAATATGATAATTAAATATTGACCTATATTGTGAGCTTCATCAAACACAACAATGCAATCTTTAGATAGCTCCTTAGAGACTAACTCTGCAACCTTCGGGTCCAGGAGATAATGGTAACTATATATTATTGCATTTGCAAAAGGAATCTAAATTTTGTTTAAGATAAATTTAAATCTCGATATAAAGCCGTTTGCTCAAAAAACATATTAAATTCTGAATACCGTTCTCCTTGCCAAATAATAAGGGCAATAATTCTGTTCTTTACCATATTCTCGTAGCTCTTCGAGTGTATATATACCATCTGGTATTAATAGGCTTTGTTTTTCATTATCATTCTCCAGTTTCTATAAAAGAAATGTTAACGTCCATGAATAAATAAAATTAGACTAATAGATTGAATTACCTCGTAGAAATTACACAATGGCACTTCACCAGGTTCATAAAGTTTTGCTTTCTCTCTGATCCATGATGCCGTAAGATTTCGGCATCGAGCATCCACCACTTTACCCCATTTCTCCTGATTTACCTGATTACGAAGAAAAGTTGACAAATACCCATTCGAAAATAATGCAAAAGAGTATAAACACGTGGTACTACCGAAGAGTTTATACAAAGGTTTTTGCGAGATGTGAGACCAAGTCCTAAGTAATCATCCTTTTCTCCGCGTTGTCTTCGATACTCAATAAGATTGCGAAGTTCTGCTAAAGCCTTCTCAATTTCTGGAACTGTTCGCGAACAATAAATCAACTTCCGCTTTTCTTTATAATTCTAATTAAAAAAGATACTATGTCACTTATTGATCATAATAAAAAAAAAAAAGTAACCAAGTAATCTAAATATGTTACCGTTTGAATCGCCACGATTAAAGATAGTAACGATACAGTTTTCCCTGTTCCGGAAGGCATTTCAAGTAAACAGTGACCCTATTATCCAAAGAGCAAAGAACAATAAACGATCGTACTACACAGCACGAGTTAAATTAGGAATGCCAATAACTACGTACCCCAGCATCAATTGCTTTCTTCAAATCTACCATATAAGAATATTGCTCTGGGTATATTTTGTCATAAGGAAAGTAAATTGGCAAGTTATTGATATAAAACCTAAATAATCATATAAACATCAGTATGGCTCGCGTGGTTTATAAGAAAGTAGGAAACATTAAGGCAGTACTTACTTCATTTTAGAAACCTAATGCTGTAATGGTAAAAAAACTATTAGAAATGATTCTAGACGCGAACAGATATGTGCTTCTATGCATCTGGCAAATCAAATATCAGGATCAGAGAACATACGCGAAAAACTTTTAGTGGTCATACCCCGAAAAAAGTGAGGGGTTAGGTACGTAGAATCATAACCAATCGATTCTTGCATCTTTAAAATAAAAAAATTATTGAATTTGGTTTAATATCTAATAAGGTTTTATTCAAAATTTTGATTACACCTATGTTTTTATTATTGTTTTTTGGATCAAGTTTAATATAAGGGACCTCTTATACTAAACTTGATCCTTGTTTTTTATATCTTTCCAAGTTTTGCATATAAAGTTTTTAACACAAGTTAAGGTTTATTTCGTGAATTTATTTTATTGTGGATATTATTATACAACTAAGTATTGCTACGTAGACTATGTGACTAGAATATATGCATAAATAGTATTGCCTTTAATTTTAAATTGAATATGCACTAAGTGGATTCAGTATTAACTTAGTTCGAAATTCTTTGACGATTTTAGTGAAGTTAAAATTTTGTTTCAACTTGAGTGTATTTAGAATTAATTCTAAATCTAACAAGATTACAACATATATTTTATAATGTCGACACATTCAACCTTATTAAATTTTCATTTGAATTACAATTCGAATTTTAACACTGGTTATGCCCGGTCAATAGTCACATGGTCAAGCTTGATAATTTAGTATGTCGGTATATGTGCCTTGAGACATGAATATTTAAATTGGAATATCTTGGAATTTGTATCAAAAAATTTCTCAACCTTTCTCATAATTTGAGTTCTTTTATTTTTTACGTTAGGAAAAACCAATTCATTAGAATTTATTCGTTTATTTAATTGACCCGTTTGACTCTGGGTCAATTTTCGTCAAGATGCAGACTCTAATTGATATTCACATTAACCTGATATTTGAAATATGATTGGTTAAAGTCCATGTGATTTATGCAGTGATGTTTATTTTTGATGTGCTTTTACTGTTTAAACAACAAACCTTCGCGTTTCTATCTTGTTTAATTTCTATTACACAATAATTTTCTTAGTTGTCGGTTTTTTAACATTAAAAACGCTTTTTCAAAAAACCTTTTTTATTTGAGGCTAATTACACCAACGAAGGCAACGAATGAAGGTTAGTATTATGTTTGTGAACATTTCGGGAACAGAAGGTTGCTTTCTGCACGTATGCCTATTGGGGTCAACTGATTCTGGATGAGGAATTGGTATGAACTTTCCTTAATAGAGCAACCTTGGCTTATTACACGAGATCCAAGATCGTCTGTACTGGCTTCTAAAAAGTGACGAGTCGACTATTAGTGATATATGGCTTGATAAGGGTGTCTAGTTCGCTATTAGCAGCCTCGTGCTGGCTTGATAAGAGTGTCTAAGTAGGTTCGCCTTTACTGGCTCTTTGGCAAGTGAGTAGGACCCAGTTAACTGGCCCTTTGGCAAGTGTTAGTGTTGTTACTGGCTTTTTGGAAGTGTCAAGTCGGAACTTGGAGTAATGGGCAACATAGTTAGTACTTGACTAGTTTTAATACTTTATTTTAGTGTTTACTAAGTTTTTTTTTTTTTTTTTTTAATATTATAGATTATCGACTTTTGATGAATTAATTAAATACACCAACGAAGGTTTGTGAACATTTCGGAAACAGAAGGTTGCTATATCGATATTTATTTTTTTAAATTTTTTTTCTGTATTAACTATAGAAGTTGCGTCGTTCGTAGGTGCCGATAATTACCGCTACGTCGTTATGGAGGTTGATTAGGTTGGTGCTGGTGTTCTTTTTGTTGGAGTAATTAAGTCGTAGTCGTGCTACTGTATTTCGTTCTTTTATTAAGTCCTGATCGTTTGTTGTTTAGTCATCTCTAGTACCGCCGAGTAGAAGTCGCGTTAGTACTAGTGATTAGGTCGTTGTTGGTAAGTGATTAGGTTGTAGCTGGTGCTACTGTATTTTGTTTTTGTTCTGTCGCTGATTAAACTGATGTTGATGATTAGTTGTCATCGGAGCCGTCGAGTAGGTCGTTAATGCCCACCGGAAATTATGAAATAGATAAATGGGAAATTTTTGGAGTTGTTGAAAAAGTCCCAAAACTTTCTGATACGGGGTTAGGGTACGGGTGTACATATGGTAAAATCAACCCGAAAAATAGGGTTTTATATAAAATTCTGAATCCACTTAAGTTCCGCTTCCGCTTATAACATATATATCGATTGCAATTTACGATATAAATTAGATTATTTTATTTTATTTTATTTTGTCTATTTTATTTATTTATTTATTTATTTTTTTAAATAAAAACTTTGAATTTATTTTTAAATTAATTAATGTATATCGATATTGTCTAATAAAATCGTTGACGTGACCTGCGAGATATTAGAGTACCAACGGGGTGCGAGATCTAGATTTACTCTTACTTAAAAATTTAAATTTTAAAATATTTTCGCTCCGGCCTCACAATGCTACGCATTAGCCTAGTATGTAATAGCTATTTATATTATGAATTTGTTAAAAATATAATATGTAATACTGTATATAGCAATCTATAAAATTCAAATATATTCTAAGTTTAATTCTAAAGTATAAGGCCTAAGAATTAAGGCTCCAGCCTACAAAACGTCGCCGTTTTTCTAGTTATTGAAAAGAAACGGCCCCGGATGTTAGCCAGGTCACTCGATGGGTGGACCCATGGGCACCCGTGGGTTAAAAAAAGGGCAACTCACCCAGGTTCTACTCAAGGGTGGTAAAATTGGAGGTTATTTGCCTTTTTTTCAATTGACCTAGGTCATTCCGGACTAAAATATATAATAAAATTGGGGTCATTTGAGGTCATTTGAGGTCCGGAATTGATAAAAGTTTTTTTAAATTTTCACCAATAAACCAGTAGCCTATATATATATATTAAGTAAAATTGCTCAGCTATATATTATGCTTAATCATATCGGCGGATTTATAAAATCCATGGCCGTAACTCTGGTCAAATTTGCAGATCATTTGGCCAGCTTTGAAGTCAAATAATTTCAAACCAGGCCAAACGATCTGCAAATTCGACCAGAGTTACGGCTCATGGGTTTTTCCATTTATCAAATTCCACAAATTCGCCGATATGGCTGGCCCTAAATTTTGGCCAATCTACCGAAATTTGATTGCCAATCACTAGCACTAGGTGTATCAAAATTGCCCGTAGACTGGCCGGATTTGTGAAGTTATCTCAGCACGTGGCAATCAAAACTCACTTCGCTTTAACCAACACCAAATTAGGTATCGTAAATTCTCAAAATAGAAAATTGCGTACCCCTAAAAATACAGAAATAGCAAAAGCAATTTCGAAACAATGCCCATGCGCGTCCCAAAATAACGCGCGCCCCCTATCTCTATACAATAATACAGTAATATCAGGTTACGTGTATAGTTTAATTTATTAAAACCAATTGACCTTATAATACACAGTTTAATAAATTAACCTATTTTCAAAATACGCCCATGGGCGTACTCGAAATGACGCGTAGATGCTCGTTATTTCGTTAATTTACGGGGAAGTATTCAGATCGATAATAGCATAAGCCAATCATAAGAGGTTATACAAATCACCACTGTACTGGTGTATAAATACATTTACCGCTGTTGTTTCTCTCTCTCTCACAAAAGCAGAGAAATGATTTTTTATTTCACTCACCTCTCCACCAACAGCATCGATCTGATTGCAACATCCAACAAATACTTAGAATCTATAAGCGCGTGCCAATGTTTTCCGCTTTGCAGTAGAATTAAAATTATAATTGTGAGAAGACAGAACGACGAAAATTTCAATAACGAAAACAAAAAAAAATCACATAACCTGGAATCAAAGTGAGTATCAATTCCGCTTTGCAGCAGAATTAAAATTTTAATTGGAAGAAGACAGAGATGAAAATATTAGAAAATATTGAGTGTGTGTTACATGTGAAATCACATCCAAGTTAAGACACGTTTTAAATGATAAATCATGTAGCGAGTATCAATATCGAGACTGGTTTGTGAATCTATTGTTGGAGGAACTTTTTCTGGATATTATTAGCTCTCTTATCGATTGACAACGTAAGTTACTTTTTTTTTTAAATATCTTAGGAGTATATAAATATTTTATTTCAAATATTTCCAATAGTGGTGAAGTCGAAAATATACATCAAAAAAATCTATCGAAACTTCGTAGGATTTTACACATCTCTTTTACAAAATCAAGTCTCAAGGACCTCTTAATCACGAACAAGCATATGATCAAAGATTTAAGATTTATCCGGAATCAATCATGAACAACTTTTTTTATGAAATATTTGAAGCATTTGACAATTTACGAAAATCTTAGTAGAAACTCTTATCAACGATGTTTCTGCTAACTTTAATGCACAATTACGCGGATTTTTTATAAATACGTACATAAGTAACGAACAATTTTTTTTTAAAAAATAATTTTGCTTAAACAAAAGAGTCAATACGTATAAACAAGTACGTATAATATTTAAAAAATACGATAAGATTTTTTTTTTTTATTAATAAAAAAAATTAATTTCTTTTTTTTATTTTAGTGTCTAGCAACAAGTCCTCCAGATCCAAATCCACCACCACCAGCGGGTCCTCCAGGTATATTTGAATAATTCAAAATATATTCATTTACCGAACCGGAGCAAATCAGAAGCATATCTAGCTGGAGAGAGTTCAAAGAAGAGGTAAAATGCAGGAATTTGAAATGTGTAGATATTTGATCTATATATTGTATTCTTAATATCTATATATAAAAACTCAAATAACTGCTTCAAAATCGGACCTGACTTTAACGTTCTCTTTTTTTCGCAACATATGTATACGTTCATTATTATATTATTATGTTCGTTTGTCTCTTCCAATTATAATTGGGCGATTACGATATTATATGATATTACAGTATATGATATAAAATTTTAAATTCCAAACATTAATAGAGCCTGCTTATCCAGTACTAATAAAAGCTATTAGCGATCGTAACTCCAAAAAAAAAATAAAAAAAAATAAATAAATTTTTTATTTTTATTATACAGTAATTAATTCCGATATAAGCTACATTTTTTTATGGGCGACACTAAATTAAATAACTTAAATGGCACACTTTAAATATCTTTGAAGAGTTAATTTGTTCTTATTGTTGAGCTTTTTTTAAATATATATATATATATTTATATTTATATATGATAAAGTTAGAAGATATTATGCAACAAATAAAAAAATTACAGTATATTTAAGTTTTAATACAGTAAGACTTCAAAATGAATGCTGGACCTGATCCTTCCGTTGACTAATTTGATGGATAGATCACAAATCAATCTTAAGTATTGGTAATTGTTTTAGTGATTCAGATTTTGTCAGTAAAAAAAATAGATAAAAATATATTTGGATTGGGAATAAGAATAAAAATAAAAGTCGATTACAAATGACAGCGATACAAGCAAGCAATCACAAAGGATTTTATCGTTATCTTAAGATTTCTTAAAATATGCTGTATTACAATATAAAATAGGAGACAATTATGACGATCACGTTAAATTAATGGGATTGTTACATTTGCGCTACGATCTAACATAAAGAACGTTAAGACAAGGCAAGATGTTGAAGTCATTGTACTAGTAAATTTCATCTAAAAAATGTATAAAAGAGATCTTTAAGATGAAATAAAGAAGAAATTTTAGGATTCGATTCATACCCATAAATATCCTAAAGTACTACTTCCATTATGTTCTTTGTGATATTAAACTGTTTATGCGTGTATATTGTTTGTTTTGAGATCCAAGTGTAACCTCGATAGTACTGTAGTACTGTAGTAAGCGAAACTATCATAATTGCTTTTGTTTCACGTGGCCGCTTAAAAAAATATCCTTATAAATAATATTTATCAATAATTAGACTAAACAGAATATTTTCAAATATATAATTCCAATTAATATATTAATTTGTATATATATTATTGACCTTTGTGGCTAATATTAAAATTAATAACTTGAAGTGGTTAACAATTAACAACTGCAGTCTTTTTAAACGAAATAAGTTAAATGAAAAAGCTTGGATCTAATAAAAGTTTTTTTTTTCGAAATTTTTTGCTCATGATTACTAATCGATAATTCTTGACTAAAAAAAAGTTGTAGAGTTTCATAGCCCTTTACAGTACAGCTTTAAAAAATCATCTCTTTAATACAGTAATAATTTAAAATAAAAGAGTCACGTGAACAGTAAGTATCGGTGTCGGAATACGTACAATTTCATTGAACGCCAACAAGGAATTGTTTTCCGAATCCATTTATGTACAAATTTCCTTATTATTCAAAAGGATATCATATAAAGTGATGTGCTTTCAAATATATAAAAATACACAGTGTTTCACCGCAGTTTTGTTTAACATATGTTCATTATATTGATTATAAAGACAGATTAAAAGACAGATTGATTTGGCAGTAAAGTTATCAATCCCATTTATGTATACGTATTATTGTTTCTTTCAATATGTTGATTTCAGCCTTCACTATCTATTGGACTCATATATATATAGGCCAGTTTTTCAGGTTCCATTCTTTTAATTTAACGAAAAAAAAAACAAAAATTGTTTTTTTTTCGAATATTAAAATATTATAATATTGTTGATCTATATATGTATGTTAAACATGGGTAATTCACATTCATCTAGTAAATCATTTCGTAGAAAACTCACAAAGAAAAAATCTTTACAAAAGTTGATCAACTCAGAATCTTTAAAGCAACAGCCAATATATGATCCATCTAAATTTCATTTACCAAAGAATGATAAAGATATTGATAGAATGCATGAGCAGCACTTTTTATTCAAACATATTTGGGGAGGCAATTTTTCGTCACCGATTGAGCGAACATTGCATAAAGGAGCAATGGTATTAGATGTTGGGTAAGTTTCTAGCTTTTTTTCTTTCTTTAATTTTTTCTTTAATTTTTTCTTTAATTTTTTTTCTTTAATTTTTTCTTTAATTTTTTCTTTAATTTTTTCTTTAATTTTTTCTTTATTTTTTTCTTTATTTTTTTCTTTATTTTTTCTTTAATTTTTTCTTTATTTTTTCTTTATTTTTTCTTTAACTTTTTTCTTTAATTTTTTTTATTCATATCTAATTTTAAATTATTTAAATGATCACATTATTATATTTAGCTGTGGTCCAGGAACTTGGCTTCTGGAAATGAGTACAACTTATCCACAATCACAATTTTATGGCATAGATATTGAACAAATATTTCCAAAAGAAATAAAACCAGGAAATTTAGAATTCATTCAATCTGATATTACAAATGGTATTAAATTCGATAATGATCACTTTGACTTTGTAAGAATGAGTCTTTTGGCTGCATTTCTTCAAGAAGATAAATGGATTCATGTGTTAGGAGAATTAATACGAGTGTTAAAACCTGGTGGATATATCGAGATCATAGAACATGAATTACAATATAGTATCGGTTCTTGTTTCTCTATGCTAATCACACCTTGTAAGCAATTCTATAAAATTTGTATGCATTTTCTAAACATATATTTTTTTTAAATTAAGTTTTTTTTATAATTCTTTAGTGTTAAATTTCATAAGATCGACGGGTGCTAACGTTCAAATAATGCAAAAAATCGATTCATTACTTACAACAACAACAACATCATCGAATCATCATGTCTCACCATCTTCTCGAACAGCTTTTTCCACCTCACACCCAACTAATATGTTGACTAATAACTCATCCCATCAAGTAAATCTAAGTCTAAGCAACACGTTATCAAGGTTAACAAATACTCATTCAGATACACGAACAGTTATAATAGGTAGTGTACATGGTGGTCAAACCGGCAAAGTATTCGAAGAAATTTTAACATCATATTTTGAGAATACGGTTGTTGAACTTCTACCTTGGTACATGGAAATTAGTCAAGAAAAATATTTAGAATTATGGAAATCATGTCAAAAGGAATTTAAGAATCGTGCGAGCTCTACAAAACTATTCAAATTTTGGGGAATGAAAATTCCACAATAAATTTCTTTTACGCGTATTTGGGCCATTGGGTTTAACATGACTTTGTATATAAATATATCTGAACATTCATTTTAAACATGTCACCGATAGAATGAAGGAGGTTTGTTTAAAGTGCTGTAGAAATTTTTTTTTTTTTTTTCTTAATCATCATATAGCTTTTCCGTAAATATAGTTTATATTTGTAAATACTGTCACATTTTTTTCGTAAAGGTTGTAACCTTTTTATAGTGTATGATATAATACCTCTTTTATTTTAAAGAGCAATTAATTCCTTTGTTTAAAGATTCAATCTTGCATTCATATGTAATTGTTTTTTTGGGTTAAATTGTAATCATTATTGTTTTTTTAAGTAAAATCATGTGTTTATTATCGTTATGCTTTAAATTCAAAATTTATTTTCTTTTGTAATAGTTGTGTTCGTTGTTTGAGAAAACTTACAATGTTCGAATAAGCAAGGACCTACAAAAATTACCTTTTTTCTTAAAATGTAAATGTAAATGTAACAAAGTTGTACTTTTTTTTTTTTTTTTACCGTGTAATATTATTTATATACAGTATCTGTATGTTGTATTTCAAAGTTATTATCAGTATTGAGATGTTTTCCGACAAACTCATGATCGATCATGAAAAAATTTCTTTTTGTTATTTTTTTTCATGTGTTAAGATGTAATTATGTTTATTCAAATTAAAACTCAGCGAGCGACTCCCTACCAATCATGATCATAAATTGCCAATAATATATACTTATCAGATTTGAAAACATTATTAAACTATTAGATTATATATAACGGGGTAAATTAATTTTTTATCAGATTTGACAGGTTATCGATTTTGGAAGGTTCAACGGTATAAAGCCCTTCTAAATAAGGAATTATCTTTTTATACGAAGTTCTTCACGTGGAATTCTAGAAAGAATATTCGTGCCCCTGATTTTTAGTACTCCTTGCAAAATGTTCAAATTGAATGAGACATACATGATTATTCTTTGTGTATTTTGGCGGGATCACATAGTAAAAGATCAAATCCCTGCGTTTAAAAAGACTTTACACCTATAAAAAATATACACTTGTATATAATACTTATGCGGGAATGAAAAACAAATTTAAAAAGATTTTACATAGAGATAGTATACTTGCACTCGGAGAAGGTACTCCCGTAAGTACGTACATTTTTGAAGTGACTTCATTTAGCAGATGTAAATCATTGATATAGAATTTTAAATTATATGACGCTGACGCCACTGTCAAAATAGATCTCTAAAACACTTTTTAAAAAGCTTTGTTTTACCTATTTGAGAAGTTATTAGTACCGTAATAGAGTGTCCAGAATTCTGCGGTGCATAAATCGCTCACTCTAAAATATTTTTGTCTATTGTCTATGCAAGATAGACGTGACTACTCTTTTTTAAATTCAAACAATATAAAAAAAAGTATTTTTAGCATGAGCAGATTTATGAACCGCAGAATTCTAGAACTCTAGTTATTAAAGATCTACAGTTATATTTTTAATACAATTTTATAAAAGATAACTGTAGATCTTTAATGACTTCTCAAATGGGTAAGACTGTGCTGAGAACGGTATAATAATCTTGTTTATCAAAAAGGGATTAGGACAAAATCGAATTTTAACACTGGTTATGACCCTTGATAATTTGATAATTTAGTATATCGATGGGACCCCTCACAGCATTAGGCCAAAAAAATTTTTTTTATTTTAATTGATTTCTTGAAAAATTAGATTAATAGGAATGCAATTTTTATAAAATTACAAAATCAAAATTTTTGTCCCATATGTGCCTTGAGATATAAATATTTAAATTGGAATTTCTTTGAAAAAATTTCTCAACCTTTGCTCATAATTTGAGCTTACGTTAGGAAAAACCAATTCATTAGAATTTATTCGTTTATTTAATTGCCCCGGGTCAAGGCAATTTTTGACCCGTGACCTGTCTAACTGATACATTAATATTTGAAATAGTTGAAATATGATTGGTTAAATTCCATGTGATTTATGCGATATCGAAAATATCGTGATAATCCTGATCAGTGATGTTTATTTTGATCTGTTTAAACAAACCTTCGCGTTTCTAGTGTTTCTATCTTGTTTACACAATTAATTTTCTTAGCTTTCGTTTTTTTTTAACTTTTTCAAAAAACCTTTTTTATATTATTATTACACCAACGAAGACAACGAAAAAAGGTTAGTATTATGTTTGTGAACATTTCGGGAACAGAAGGTTGCTTTCTGCATGTATGCCTATTGGGGTCAACTGATTCTGGATGAGGAATTGGTATGAACTTTCCTTAATAGAGCAACCTTGGCTTATTACACGAGATCCAAGATCGTCTGTACTGGCTTCTAAAAAGTGACGAGTCGACTATTAGTGATATATGGCTTGATAAGGGTGTCTAGTTCGCTATTAGCAGCCTCGTGCTGGCTTGATAAGAGTGTCTAAGTAGGTTCGCCTTTACTGGCTCTTTGGCAAGTGAGTAGGACCCAGTTAACTGGCCCTTTGGCAAGTGTTAGTGTTGTTACTGGCTTTTTGGAAGTGTCAAGTCGGAACTTGGAGTAATGGGCAACATAGTTAGTACTTGACTAGTTTAATACTTTATTTAGTGTTTACTAAGTTTTTTTTTTTTTTTTTTTTTAATATAATAGATTTTTTCAACAACAAAAAATTAGTAAGGACATGCCTCTTAGAGTTAAACACGAAAGAACGAAACGATTAGAAATTTTCCACAAGACTCTAAAACAGACTATTAAGGTCGGCCAGTTTTGGAGGAGGAATTGGTATGTACTTTCTTTAATTGAGCAACTACTTTGATATTTTATTTTAGTTTTACTAAATTTTTTTTTTTTTTAAAAAAAAAATATGTTTTATACGTTTTAGTTGACTTTCCTATTCTTGTTTTGGGCGCTACTTCAGCCATCAATAGCAAGTTTACTATATCAGAAGACGTAAATATAACAAAAATTATAGTATACCGTAACTTTTTATTTTAAACAATAAGCAAATTTACTCGATAATAAGTCAACTTTTTTTATTAAAATTTTCTTTGCTTTTAAAGCTTTTCATCGCTTAAAATCCCTCTTCTGTCCTTACAATTTAAAATGAACGCACTTAGACTTGAACTCTTAATCGCAGATTATCTAGAAATATTTCATGTATATTAGTTTTTGAATTTACTTTTATAGATATTAGCGTTAAAGTCTAAAAAATCGAATATTTTGATGTAATTATCTAAAATGTCTAAATAAACTCTTTGAATTATTCAAATAAATAAATAAATCTTGAATTATTTCTCTTTTTGATCTTACAAGTTTTATGTTAATCAAAAGTACAATAATAATGTACTTGATTTTGATAGTAATAAAGATTGATCTAAGACTTTCAATAGAGTATTACGCTTAGTTTTTTATAGAAGTTAAATTGTAGTAAAAATGAAAATTTTGATAAGATAATCAATATTATATAGTATTAGACATTGTTTTAAATATCAGAATATATACAGTATTTCAAAGTGTATGTACATAATTGGCCAGAGCGTAGCGACTGACTTTTGGTGTTTACACGTGGTGATATAAAAGTTACATTTTTGAAGCGGTTTGATCTAAAAAAATTACAATGATAAATTATAATAATCAATAATGTTTTTTTTTTTCTTACAAAATTTGTTATAAGCATGTATTTTATTGGCTAGAGTTGAGGGAAATGAAGTGGAGGCCTTACAGCTGTTAACATTATTCCTGGGACACCTGGCAAAAAATTAACCCGAATGATTATTTTGCCGATTCGATAAGTTATTGATTTCGGTGTGATCTGTGTATAAAAGCCATAATAAGTTCACCATTATTAAATTTTCGCTTGAATACTTGCCCAACATGTCTGATGCGTTTAGTTTGTACGAAATTTTATGGAAAAGACTGTTCTTGTCAACCAATAAATCTTAATAAAAAACGCAAAAAAGGATCCGAATATAAATTAGACTTTTTATAACAAATATATTACACGAACAGGTGCCGCTATTAAAAAAGTTAAATATGAACATAAATTTGTTGACTGGTTTATAAATGAATCTCTGGTTAAGATTCCAAGCGACCAAGATATTATTAATATTTGTTGAGTATGCAAGAATTATGATAAACGAAATCCAAGTAAAATTTTATATGTTTATATTTGTTTATATATTTTTGTCTTCGACAAGAAACGAAAAATAATTAGAAATAAATAAATTCTTTCGTTTGAACGAAAATGTATCTTGCCAAAAAATAGGAATCGAAACTTGTTTTTTTTTTAAACGAATTTTTCATCATAGACAAGAAACGAAAAATAATTAAAAATAAATAAATGACTTGTCAAATAATAGGAATTGAAGTTTTATACAATTCTTTAAAAACTAATTTTCTCGAAAAATAATTAGAAATGAATAAAGGCTTCGTTTGAATGAAAATGGATAACAGTAATTGAAATTTTTACGCAATTTTTTTAAAAACGAGTTTTCGTGGAAAATAATTAGAAATGAATAAAGACTTTAATTGAACGAAAACGAATCTTGCCAAAGAATAGGAGTTGAAATTTTACACAATTTTTAATAATTAGATCTTGTCAAAGAATAGGAATTGAGATTTTATACAATTTTTTAAACCCGAATTTTTTCGTCGAAAAATAATTAGAAACGAATAAATGTTTCGTTTAAGCAAAAATGGATCGTGCCAAAGAATAGGATTGAAATTTTACGACTTACAATTGCGCATGTCAATATTTAGTCTTATTGTAATATATATTAGTCACCTGATCTTATAAATTACGTACAGTATTTGATATATCGATATTTGTTACTGAACATTATTATTATTATTCCCGAAATATATAACTTATCGAATCGGCAGAAAATCATTCGGGTTAATTTTTTGCCAAGTGTCCCAGGAATAATGATAACAGCTGTAAAGCCATACTATACGATTTTTTAGGAATGTCCGGTTCCCAGTTCTGGTGGTTCGGAATCCAAACATTGAACCTAAAATTAGGTTCGATTTTGGATACTAAAATATTAGTTTAAAATGTAGCTGCTGATTTTTAAATCATTGTAACAAAAAATTTTTTTAGCAAACACATTGAATAAGGACATTAAATAAAATAAATAAAATAAAATTTTGCAGCTGACTTTAAAATATATGGGTAAAAAAAAAAAAAAATCAAATAAATATGTATTTTTTAATCGCAAGCACATTAGATAAAATTACTATTTGGTATGAGGTAAAGAATAAATAAGAAGAAACAAAATATTGGCCTATTAAAGTGAAAGTAATAGTGAGAGTCGAAATTGTAGTAATAATATCTCTGGGGATAGATGATTAATTGAGTAATTAATTAAAAATTATATAGTAACATAAAGGAAATATATGTAAGTTTATAGTAAATGGTGTAATTCAAGAGTAATTGGCTGGAGCTGAGGGAACCGAGGTGGAAGCCATCAAACCATACTCTACGAATTTTCAGAAATGTCCGGCTTCAAATGATCATGATTAGGTACAAAATCTGAAATTTGAACCTAAATCAGGTTCAATTTAGTAGTGTTCCACAAAAAGGGATCCGAACAGATCCTTTTTTGCGGAACACTACAATTTAGGATATAAAACGTTAATTTAAAATGTAGCTGCTGACTTTAAAATCATTATAACAAACCTAACAAAAATTTTTTTAGCAAACACATTGAATAAGAAGATTAAATAAAAATTAAATTTTGCAGCTGACTTTTAAAATACATGGGTAAAAAGAAGTTTTATACAAACGCATAAATCAAATAAATATGCATTTTTGATCGCAAGCACATTAGATAAAATTAACTATTTGGTACAAGATGAAGAAATTCATTAAAATAAATAAGAAGAAATTAAATATTGACCTATTAAAGTGGAAGTAATAGTGAGAGTCGAAATTGTAATAATGTCTCTGGCAATCAATCGAAATCAGGTGTGTAATAAATAAGTAATGATGGATAGGATTAATTGAGTGATTAATTAAAAAAATTATATAGCGATAATAACATAAGGGAAATATATGTGAGTTCATAGGAAATAGTGTAAATAATGTAATTCAGGAGTAAAAGTCAAAAAATAAAAAAATAAATTAGTCAGTTTTCGTTCTAATTAATAAATCAATTTACATAATCTTACACATAGTACGAAGAACTTATCTTTGGTATTGCATGGCTACAGAATGATACTGAATTGAATTTACAATAAACAGAGTACCAATTGACCTATCAAATACACTTTGGAGGGAAAAACTGGTATTTGCTCTCGCATACAGTTTCCATTATGTCTTGCCTGGGCAATTACAACTCATAAATCACAAGGTTTGACATTACTGCAAGCTGTTATAAATATTGGAAATAAAGAATTTGCAACAGGTCTTACATTTGTAGGTTCGTATCCTTAACGATCTTCTTTTTGATAGTGAATTCTCTTTAGACAGATTACAAAAATTAGGACAAAGTGCATGTTTGCAACAAAGATTATTAGAACAAAGATTACTTTATGAATTTATTATAAATGTAATATTAAAAATAGTATGAATTCCTAAAATATATGTACTATATATTTTAAATTTAATTCTATATAAATTGTAAGACCTAAAAATTGAGGCTCCAGCCTATAAAACATCACTATTTTTCTAGTAATGTAAGCTTTATTTCATTAATTACATGTAAGAAACCATCAAATCAGGGCTTAGCTAAACAAAATAAATGAATATATCAAATCTACCTATGTCACTTCGCCAAATACTTTCATCGCTTATGAGTCACAAGTTGAAGCTATAGTAGCCAAATGTGAAAATAAGCAATATTCATTGTCTAAAGGTGACATTAAAATTAGGATAGTATTTTAAATTTTAATTAATAACAATTCAGAATTTATTTAATAACTATGTAGCAACAAATATCTATTGAAAAGTTTTCAACTTAACATTAGTAACATTAACAATAATAGCTAACTTGAATATTTCAAGAAGGATATAAAAATCTGAATCTCTATTGAGATAGACAAGTTAGCATCTTATTTATTTCACCAAATTTTATATTGTTAATGAATATTTAGAAATAAATTTGAAATGAAGGCCATAAAGAATGATCAATTGCAAAGAGTATATAAATTATTGAAGAACATCACAGAAACAAATAAATGCTTAAAAAGAAATAAATTATTATATTATCAAAATGTAGTAATAAATTGTATTAAAAATTGCTTTATATTATTGCTATAATTTAAAAAATGAAGTCTTAATAAAAGAAAAAAAAAGTAAAATTCGAAGACATTTTTTGGAACACACATTTTCCAGATGCTTATATACTTTTTTGCATGATTGATTAATTACAATTAATTTTGATCTCTGGGCTTAGGTTTAGGCCAACTGCACCACTAACCTGGCACACATTCAAGACATACCTTTATAAGCACCATTTTTTGTTTATTAGAAAACTTTAATACTGTATAATTATATTACTATTAAAAATTTATAACCCTATCTTTTTTATATAAAACAAACCACATGATTAGAGAAGGATGACTATATTAAATTTTTATAGCACGTGGGTACTAGAAGATAACTCATTGGCTAGTTCTAATAATAAACTGTAAACGCTATGTTTTGCCCAGTCAAAATCAAAGTGTTTAGCCCTGTCAAAGTTTTCACCTTCCCAGTCCTTTCATGTATCAAGCACTATCCGTAAATTTTCTATTGTTTTCAATCAGAAAGAACTAATAAATTTCAATAATTCGGTCGGCATCTTAGGAAAGTCTTTCGATTCTGTGTCACGAATCTCTTCGAGTTCTTCGGGGGTAAACACATTTAAACAATAATTTAATTTCGTGATGTAGGTGTTTGTTTTCTATAAATAATTAATAATTAAAAAATTAAGAAAAAATAAAAAAAAACAAGTTTTTTTAACAAAAATTACCAACTTCCGATTTAGCAAGTTCTTCGTTTTGCGTATGGATTTTAAATTTGTTTTGATCATCATTGGGATTAATAATAAAAGAATGTGCCAAACTAAAAACAAACGTAAATTATGTGTTAAAAATTTCATAGCAATAAAATATATCTAATATATTCTTACATACTGTTCAAATCGGCATTGTTTTCCAAAGGCATACAACTTGTCTTCAACACATTTTCCTGATTTCAAACCCCACTTTTTTTCCTTTTGCATTCCTTGATATGTATGTTCGAACTCTAGCATGCTTGATTCACACATTTCTTTATCCATTTCATCATCATCATCATTGATTTGCGGAGCATATTTACATTCATCTGTGGCCTCTAATTTTTGCAGTTTCTTATTAAACTGATTGGGTTGTTGATCATTGGGACTTGATCTATTTCATCCTATAGAAACACAAGGCCAAATAATCATCATACCATAAAAACAATATTGGCATTAGCATTAAAAATTTTACTAATTAACTAAAAAATTGGATCCCTTTTCCTGGACATGAAGTTATTATTGATCATTCCACGTATTCCATTTATTGCGGAAACTGAATGATTAATGTTAATTGTTGTCCCACTTGAATTACACAATTTACGTGTTTTATTCCACTTTTTAGCAAGTGTGCGATCACTTCCCTAAAATATAAAAATAACAAACTTGCTGAATTAGTAAAATTCTCAACTATTTTAATATATCCCACCGGTCAGCCAGAAACCTTAAACACAGGGAACCCAGAAAGCCCACGTGCCCCGATGGGACCGATGCTAGGTCAGCCAGAAACCTTTAACACAGGAAACCCAGAAAGCCACCCATGCCCTAGCACCGGTTTTGTGACTCAGCCAGAAGCCTTTTGACATTGACCCAAAAAGCCTTCGTCATGTCACAAAAAAAGAAAACTATTACTTGCCGTTCTATACTTATCAAGGAGTGCTCGCGCTTTTTCCCTCTGGGTATCTTGCTCTTGATCAAAGATGTTTTCAAGAGATTTTAGGTAAACATCTATCTTATTGTCAAATGGCTCCATGTCATACACATTCAAAAAATCTAATATGTTCCAATCAGAGGAATCACGGCCGAAGTATTAGTGCGTTTTAACTTTTGACATAATCGTACATTGAAGAAGGTAATCTGATTCGAGACTAAATCAATTGTTCAGTTACTCAAGAAAAAATTACGTGTATGCCCGATGTAGGCAAAAATTTACAAAGCGATAAAAAAAAGTAGTGCCGGCACCAGGTTTCGACCAAAAGAGAATTATCCTGTCATTTTATAGGAGACGCGTTATGTGTACTATATTTACAGATAGGCAAATCGCAAATTCTACCACTATATTTAACTCTGGGATCGTTATTCGATGACGCAAAATTAAGAGGTAAATTATGCGATGCGATTGGACCAAATTATGCGGCTAATGCTTTACATTCCCAGAATTATGCGAAACAATCGTAAATTACGCGATTTTTTTTCGTATCATTAACCATATGACAAATAGACTCAATTTGGATCGGTCAATTTCTTTCAGAACTTTGCATAATTTAGATTTTTTACTCGGAATATGTCAGAACGGTATATAAAAATTCCGAAATTTGCGCTCAAAATTTTTTATAAAAAAAAAACATTGATTGGTTGAAAGTCGACCAATCACAGGCACTAGTTTAAAATAAGTTAATTTTCAATTTTCAATACAATAGCAATAGGTGCGATAGGTGATCTGATACCATTTATTATTATCAAAAATCAGCAGATATAGACATTGTACAATGTTATCAAAAAGAATGAATACGAGACGTTTACCAGTTACAAAAAATGTGTAGAGAGATAGGAAAAGAATTTATAAGTACATACAATACGTATATTTGCCTGTTGATAAGCAGTATACTGTATCTTATATTAGTTTGTTATTTAGTATAAAATGTTGTATTGTGCAAGTAGTAGTGTGATCCGTTCAAATCCGTATAATACGGATTACACAAAATCATATCCGCAAACTATTCAAACGAATATATGACAGTTCAATCAATTAAATCCGTTCTATATTTTATTACTCATTAATTTTTAAGATACTGTTTGAAACAATCGATAAATATTAATTAGATGAAGTTCGTCGTGAATAATCTAATCTATACGTTTTCTTTTTGGCTTTCATTAAAACGGGTTGAACACTCAAAGCATATTTTTTGATTACTTTGAAATGCAATAATGTGTTTTATAATTCGACAAGACGAACAAAGTTTTGGATTTTCCATTTTATGATATTAAAGAAGCGTAAATAGTAAATAGTTATTATTATTACGTGTATTATTATTAATCAAATGTCGTCATTGTTGTATCAAAATCATTAATCCTAATGTCGGCAAAACCGATTACGTACATGATTTTGGTGGCGATACTAGGTGGGTCGCCATCACCCAGTGTTTAAAATTTAACTTTATTTTAATATGCGGTAATTTTTTGTAAACATAATAAAATTTAAAAAAAAGTGTATGCTCAACATAAGGTGAATATGGGTATTTTGACGAAGTTAAATTATTTTCGATCGTATAATGTGATGCATTGATCGAAATCAAATAATTTTGGTACCATCTGATTCGTCTCATCGATCCGAATCAAATGATACCAAAATCATTCGTTTCTGATCACTGTATCATGAAATAATTGAAGTTGAAATATTTTTTAAAAAATAAGAAAATTTTAGCCTTGGGGGTATTATGACGAATCGGGATTATCCCATGATCCCATGATCGGAATTGGATGAAATTTGCACCATTCGATTCCTCTCGTTGAAAGGAAGCGAGTGGTATAGATTTCACCCGATTCTGATCGCGGCGTCATGAAATATCCTGATTCATCATAATAAGTTTAGATACAGCATTCTACCTATTATGACGAAGAGGACATCATGCCGAATCGGGATTATCTCGCGATCCCGTGATTAGAATCGGACGAAATTTATACCATTTGATTCCTCTCAATGAGAGGAATCGAATGGTGTAAATTTCATCTGATTCTGGTTATGGTAATCTGATTCGTCATAATACCCCCTTCGTCACAATACCCATATTCACCTTTATATGACATAATAAAATTTTGTTTACGGAATGAATTTTCAATCTGCGCACCGGGCGCCATACTTTTATTTTTTCTGTTCACTACAGAATAAATGAGATCATTCGGAGTACATAATTTTCCTCGGAATTTTGATTACAAACGTGCATCTGGTTTTTTCCTCCTGCACCCTTTTTTCTTCCCATCGGAATATACAAATGAAATAAAAGTAACAAAACCAAAACAAGCAAAAATTAATTATTTATAATGTAGATTTCCCTATACTTGCATTATAAGATGGTGATGGTTGAGATTGTTTCCGGAAATAAAGTCGCTGCCGACGATTGAGCGCTAATACTACTTTATCTCTCCGCAGTACTAACGAACGAGGAACTCCGTAAGGAAGACTTTTCAACGAAGCATGAAATTGCAGGTATTATCACATTAACATTTCGATTCGGCATATTTGTATTCACTTTAACGATCTCTTTGAACATAACCTGTAAAAATCAAGTTGATAAATATATTAATCTTCGTTATATACTTATTTATACATATCGATATATAGTCATACTAATATAGATAAGATTATTAAACTAGAAAAGAATTTTTTTAATTATTTTCAGAGGTTATGATATTAAAAAGATTTAGATAAATCCTATTGTAGTATTATAAAACCGGCTTATTGAAATAATGTGTTTAAAATTTATTAAAATCGATATCTAATATTATGAAAGAATCCATATATTATATTTTCATGAAATTCTAAAAAGTTCCGAAGTAGAATATTCTGTTATATAATTAAACCAGACATACAGTATAAATCATAATTTAGAGGATACAAGGTTTAAAAGAAAATTGCTTAAAAATTTACCATTAGTATATCCACTAAATCTTGACTATCCGTGAATTTTGTGTAACGAATATGTTTTTAACAGTAATTGAGTATCATTTTTAACCGTGAATATATTTTGCGAATTTTATTTACTAAAATATTCGGTGTAAAAAAAAAGCATGCATAATGAACTCATTTGGTATATAGAATAAAATTCCCAGGCAGCTAGAGTGTTAACTTAATAGTAATATTAGTTTTGATCTTAAATATATCGCAAAACTACTATCCCTGATGGATCGTCGGTACCGATCCTGATAGGGCAAAAAAAAAAATCGATTTGCATACCGTTCTTGATGGATCAAAACTAGAGTATAAACTAAACTTTTTTTAAATTTTAAATAAAGATATCTCGACAACTACCAAGCCAAAT